GAGTGCGTCAGCAGCGGCCGGGAGGAGGAGGAGGAGGAGGACGACGACGACGAGGAGGAGGACGAGGAGGAGGAGAGACCGGGAAAGCCAGTCCAGCTGGAGGGGGGCCCGCCGCTTCCCCGGCGGCGGGGAGGGGGGGGCAATTAGGGAGCACGAAGGTCCCCCGGCAAGGCTTCGGCTGCCATGAGTCAGCCCAAGCAGGGTGTTGGTTTATTCATTTATTTATTTTAACCAAACAGTTTGGAGAGCTGCAGGGGAACGTCCTACCGGAATACAGCACGGAGCTGTCGACTGCCTGGGAGGTTTGCTACCGCTTCCTGCAGCGCTGCGGCTGACGTTTCAAGCTTGCTCCAGGTTTTAACGGCAAAATAAAAATTGATGCAAGGGAGGAAAAAAAAAAAACAAAAAAAGCTTGACGTTTTATAGCAGTAAAATTCAAGCGATTCTGTGTCGAACAACTTAAAGCCTCGCATTGCTATCGCTTTTGAAGGAATGAAGAAAGCATTACGCTGGGAAACGGAAGAGCTAAGTGCCGAGAGGAAGGATCCAGTTTTGCAACATATGACTAGCAGGGGTTAAATTCTGCCTTCCAAAAAAAAAAAAAAAGCAAATATTTCACCACATAAAAACAAAACAAAAAAAAAATCAATGAAGTTTTTGGTTGCACAGCCATGGCACGAGTTTCGCTTACTTGACTGCCTCCTACACGCAGAGCCCGGAGGGTGCCAGGTGAGTCAGGTGCCAGGCTGCTGCCCTCCCTAGCCTTATTCCCAGGCGACACGAAACACATAGCCCTGAACAAGCTGGCTTCTGCTATACACGAAGTGTACATACGAAGTGCGTATACTCCTACAGACGCGCTACTATCGCAAGAATGACATCCTGCCAATAGAAACGGAGGGGAAAAGACGAACAGCAGAGGAAGGTGCGCACAAGCTTCCTTTATGAGCACGAGCGAGGGACTGAAGGAGGTCCACTGGTCGGCTCACTGTGGAAAGGTGGCGAGAGCCAACTGAGAGCTGCTCAGGGTGTTAGTGGCAGGAACGGAGCTAAATGTTTAACAGGAAAAGAAACCACAACGCTACGATTTCAGAAGACAAATACCGATATTAATATATCCCACACGCAAAATTGATTCTGGTAAAATCCCCTCCCCTTTTGGTACAAGGCTTAGTCTGGCTACATTCGCATCTCCCTGTAATTTGGTGCAACACGCAACACAGAGCGGACCAAGGCCGCAGCCTGGAGAACTGAGGGGAACAGCAGCACTGGCAGACCGTTCTCCACCTCCATCCTGACTTACATGAGAGTAAGAAGTCTGCACAGTCTTCTGGCAGCTGTAAGCTAAAGGGATATAGTCCAGAAGTGAAGTCAGAGCCATATTAAGTGGCCTGCTTTCACTTCTTGGATGAAATAACGTGGAAAAAAAAAAAAAACAAAAACAGACAGCAGCATTAACTAAAAGCAGCATCAGGTTTTTTGAACTCCATCCCAGAGACAGAGCCTGTTGCCAGTAATACCTAGGAATCTGCAGAGCCACATCGAAGAACTACAGAGTAGAAAACGTACTTGCAGAAGCTGCACCCAGAAATCCCTTCATACTAACACTGTTTTACTGGAGGGAAATATTTTTCAATAAGAGTAGAATTTTTCATAGATACATGCCTCTGGCATGGCCCACCAACCCTTGCTCCCGATAGGCTGGTAGACAGTCAGAGAGCCAGGTATCAAATGCTATAGTGTTTTCATGATCGGCTTCTCCACAAATCACGGAGGCCACAAAAGTCCATAGGTTTGTCACTAGCCTTCAAATATTTGGAGGGAGATATGCCGGAAAAGGGGTTAAGAATAAATCATAGATTTAAAAAATTTTTAAGCTTACCATGTTACTGTGTGATAATGTAACATGACTGACTTGCTGGCGAGCAGCTCTGTAGAAAAGGACCAGAGGGTCCTGGGGAACAAGTTGGCTCTAAGTCAATAACTAGGTCAAATCACATCTTCGGCTGCGTTAGCTGGAGTGTAATCAGCAGGTCAAGGGAAGTAATTTTTTCTCCCTACCCAGCACTCATGAGGCCACATGTAGACACTGTGTTCAGTTTGCGGTCCTCACAGTAAGAGAGATGTTCACAAACTGGAGCAAGGCCAGTGCAGGGCCACAGCAATGCGCGATGGTGGGGCTGGAAGCCAGAGCATAGGAGGAGAGGCTGTGGGAGCTGGGCTTGTTCAGCCAGGAGATGAGACGGCAAAGGGGGATCTTCCACTACCCAAAGGGGTTACAGAGACTACGAGGATGGACTTTGCCTAGAGGAGCATAGCAAAAGCACCAGAGCCCTTGGCATAAGCTGCGACACGGGAAATCCCTGTTGATCCTAAAGAAACAGTCCCTCCCTGTGCGTATGGGGCTGACCTGGGGCAGGTCCCTGAGCAGTGGGGGAACTCCACCCTCGGGGATTGCTCAGACTCACCTGGACAAAGCCCTGAGCAACCTGCTGTAGCTGCAACGTTGGCCCTGCTGATTTCCCAGCTTTTCCCAGTCAGATTCCCAGCTTTTGGGAAAGAAATTCCCACATGGGGCTTTTAGCTGCTTTGTAATGTAACAAAGGCAGTGTCCGTGTGACTGCTTTCCATTTTTCCATTCTTGCTTTTTCAGTTAATTTTCAGGAATATCACCTCTCTTCCTGGTTTTGATGGAAGGATTCCAAACCTCAAAGAGTACTTCTGCAAGTGCCAATCCAAGGAGAGGAGAGCAACTACTTTCATGTCCTAGTGAGCCCAGCCAACACCCATGCTTTGAATTAATAAAACAAAAAAGTCTTTTGTTTTGTTTTAAAGATCAACAAAAAAAATAAAATCATTACATGTAAATTGCTCCTTAAAAAAATCCCACCCTGGCTCAACTGAACTAACTATCAGATCGCATTTTTCATACTTCTTTTCAGAAAGATTTTTACCAGTAAGGCTGTATCTTTAGCAGGCCAGACTGTCACGTCCAGCTCGGTCAATTTTATTTTAAATCTGAGGATAGACTAAAAATGCGGATTAACAGCCAGCCACTGACAAGCTCACTTTTTTTTTTTTCCCCAGCTGTCTTTGAGTAAATTATCGCCAAAATACTCGAGAGATCTATTTGCCCAATCTTGCCCTGTTTTCTTAGAGAGATTCTGGAGTAGAAGTGGTAATTATTCATTACCTAAAGAATTTCTTTGATGCAGTTCTATCAGTACCAATTCTGTCAGTTCCTCCCATTAAGCACAAACATGAGAAATTGGGAGGACTAATTACAGGACACACTACAGGCCATGAATTCCTCATTATGCAGATGTCACCCTCATCTCCTTTCAGCCAATATGCATCTAATGGGAGAGCAGAACGCAGTTGGTGAGGACAGCAGCCAACTTAATAATTCACCTCTGACGTTCACATGCATTCATACTTGAGAAAAATGATCTTTATTATTCCAGTAGATCTTATCTTTGCAATTCCTTTTCCCAGTGATCCATGACGGGTTCAATGACCTCAAGGCACGTAACAAAGGACAATCCTGCTTTCCCATGAGCGAGGCGAGGCGAGAAGGGAGAAGAGAAGACAGTTTGACTAGTATTACAGGTAATTAAAAGTGAGCTTTGGGAACACCTTTTTGACATGTTTAATCATTATGCATTTAAATACCGCATGCGTCCAGGCAGATACAACTAAATACTGCGTACAGCCTTAATTCATTAAGTATATTTCTCTTCATTTGTTTTTCCCAAAGTATTTATGAGGATATTCTTTGGACATACCTCAGCCCGGACATATTTAGGCAGAGGGTTAAAATAGAAGACAGCGAGAAGTGGTTATATCATTTTCCTTCCATAGGGCTGAATATCTGGGAGTACTGTTTTTGGTTAAATTGCTGTTGCTCTGC